CAGGGACCACGGGCCTGGGGGATGGCAGGGACCATGTGTGGTTGGTGCTGCCCTAAAGGAGGAGCAGGCACATTTCTCTCTTGAACTTGAAACTAAGGTCACTTGACTCACTGGATTAAAACTGGTCTTGACTGCTCACTGCGTAGCCTCCCTGTGTTCCCAAGGTCCTCAGTCTTCCACGGGCCAAACAGATATCCAAGCGTTACTAATCCTCTGGGAAGCCAGCAGTTGGAGCGATCGGTGACTTCGAACGCTCTTGATAACTGGATTTTGGTCTCTGATCGCTGATAAGGTTTTTAATTTGGGCTTGGAGCAGGGCCCTCCGGGGATTAGCAGTTGGAGCAATCGGTGACTTCGAACGGCTCCTGATAACTGGATTTTGGTCTCTGATCGCTGATAACGTTTTTAATTTGGGCTTGGAGCAGGGCCCTCCGGGGATGAGTGCCGCCGTTGTTCTAAACCCGAGTTCAAGTAGATTTGGCCCAAACAGGTACAGAACCGCCAACCTTGGCTTCTTTTCATGCTGTAATTTGAGCAAAGGTTCTTAAGTTCTCGTCAGCCATGTGTCACCTGCGTCATTTTTACCATATCTGAGACCAGCTGAAATCTTATTTACCGCGGTTCTTTAAGTGCATTCATCATTATACTTAAGTCTGTTTTACTGCCGTAAGTGGAAATCGAGTATTACTTGCCCGTAATTAGAGGTCACAAAACAGATGCAATGTAACAAGCGGCCGAGTGTGCCTGCACGGGGCTGCTTGCCGGCGCCGAGCCGGGGGCCGGCCTCCTTCTCCTAAGGGACCATTCTCATGCTCGCGCCCAGGCGACCCCGCCCGCCTTTGAAAACTCTGGCCTTTGGAAAACTCGTTCCCTTACAGTCTGTATGGGAACTAAGTGTCTGGTTGGCTGGCCTGGTGTGAGCACTCCTCTCTGAGGTGCAGTAAGGATACCGTGAGGAGGGAGATGACACGGTCCCGGAGGGGGAGGGACGGAGCGCACTGATGAGAAGAGAAAGGCTTGGTGATGGTCTGGAAGCAGGAGTTCCACTTACTTATTTGTTTCTTTGTCTATAGCTCATCTCCCAGCTCCCTCCCCTTTGGCAACCATCAGCTTATTGTCTATATCTAGGGGTCTGTTTCTGTTTTGTTTATTCATTTGTTTTTTTAGATTCCACACATTAGTGAGATCATCTGCTATTTACCTTTCTCTCTGTGATGTATTTCACTTGGCATAATATCCCCTAGGTCCAATCCATGTTGTCACAAATGACAAGCTTTCATTCTTTTTTATGGCTGAGTAATATTCTGTTGTCTACCACACCGTCTTTACCCCTCATCTCCCATGGACATCTAGGTTGCTTCTCTGTTGTGGCTGTTCCTAGAATGGTGCAGGGAGCATAGGGGTATGTGTATCTTTTCGAATTAGTGGGGGTTTTTTCTTCAGATAAATACCCAGAAGTGAAATTGGTGGACTATTTGGCAGTTTTATTTTTAAATTTTTGAGGGACGTCCATACCGTTTTCCACTGTGGCTGCACCCATTTACAATCCCACCAACAGTGCACCAGGGTTCCCTTCTCCGCCCAGCCTCGCCAGCACGTGTTGTGGATTTGTTGACGACAGGTGTGAGGCCATATCTCTGGGGTTCACTTTGCATTTCCCGGAGAAGTGAGGTTGGGCGTGTCTTCATGCCTGTTGCCCACCCGTAAGTCCTCTTGGCAGAGATGTCTCTGCAGGTTCTCTGCCGTGTTTTCATTGGATTGGGTTTGGGGTTTGTTTGTTTGGGGTTGTTTCACGAGTTCTTTATTACAGATTTTGGATATTAACCCCTTATTAGATGTATCATTTGTGGAATACCTTCTCCCATTTAGTGGTTGTCTTTTCCTTTTGTTGATGTTCCTTTCACTGTACAGAAGCTTTTTACTTTAATATAGTCCTATTTGTATACTTTTCTTTTTTAAATGTTTTTTTTTTATTATTTCAGAGAAGAAGGGAGAGGGAGAGAGAAACAACAATGATGTGAGAGAATCATTGATCAGCTGCCTCCTACACACCCCACACAGGGATCGAGCCTGCAACCCGGGCATGTGCCCTGACCGGGAATCGAACCGTGATCTCCTGGTGCATAGGTCGATGCTCAACCACTGAGCCACACCGGCCGGGCTGTTAACTCTTTCTTGTTTCCCTTACCCGAGGAGCATATCCAAAAAGGTATCGCTGAGAATGATGTGAGAGTTCACTGTCTGTCTTTTCTTCTAGTTTATGGTTTCAAGCCTAACACTTAACTGTTTAATCCAGCGGTTCTCAACCTGTGGGTCGTGACCCCTTTGGGGGTCGAACGACCCTTTCACAGGGGTCGCCTAAGACCATCGGAAAACGTATATAATTATATATTGTTTTTGTGATTAATCACTATGCTTTAATTATGTTCAATTTGTAACAATGAAATTGGGGGTCACCACAACATGAGGAACTGTATTAAAGGGTTGCGGCATTAGGAAGGTTGAGAACCACTGGTTTAACCCATCTTGAGTTTATTTTTGTATATGGAGTAAGAATGTGGTGGTTTTATTTTGTGCTTGTATCTATCCAGTTGTCCCAACACCACTTAGTGAAGAGACTGTCTTCACCCCATTGTATTTCCTGGCTGCCTTTGTTGTAGGGTAATTGGTCCTATAAATGAGAAGTTATTTCTGGGCTCTGTTGTATCCCATGTTTTTGTGTCAGCACCATAGCGCCCTGAGTAGTGCAGCCTTGGGTGTAGTTTGCTGTCAGGAAGCAGGGTACCACCCACTTTGTTCTTTCTCCGGTTTCTTTTGCTATTTGGAGTCTTTGTGATTCTCCATAAAGTTTAGGGTTAGTTCTCATTCTGAGAAGAATGCCCCTGGCATTTACCTAGGGGTTGCATGGAACCTGGCTATTCCTTCAGGTGGTATGGACATTTAACAGTGTTAAGCCTTCCAATCCATGAGCAAGGTGTAGCCTTCCATTTATTTGTATCTTGTTCAAATCCTTTCTTCAATGTCTTATAGTTTTCAGAGTACAGACCTTTCACTTTTTTTGTTTAAAAAAAGGCACTGTATGAGCTGCATTATCAAATAAGCCCCAGGATTTCAGTGGCTTAACACTAAAAGGTTATTTCTTATTCACGACAACGTGGTTGAAGCTACAAGTTAGAAGCAGTTTCCTCCCCGTGAGGACTCACGGGCCATCTCTGATTCTGTGGCTTTGACCTCCTCTAGGGGATCATGTGTCCAGCTGGTGCGAGGGGGGCGGGGAACGGAGCAGCAAGAGGTCTGAAAGCCGGCAAGTGCTTCATGCCAGGAGTGAGCTGCAGCAGAAAGGAAACGTGTGTGCGCTCTGCTCTCCCCTGGGCCTGTCAGTGTTAAACCTGCTTGGCACAGAACAGGCCGCCCACAAATGCCTGCTTCAAAGAACACTAAGCCCACTCCCATCTCCTGGCTGGAGATACAACCCCGAGGACCACAGGTGGGGAATAGGTGGGCAAGGGAAGCAAGACTGGACAGGAGCTTGAAGGGAGTGACGGGCAGAATGTACACACACACACACACACACACACACACACACGTACAGGCACACATGCAATGGCTCAGAACAGAAGGTATGTGAAAGCAGTAGGTCCTTTGTCTGAACAAGGTTGTGACCTTAGAACAGCCTCAAAAATGCAAACCACCCCCCCCCGGCTGGTTTTCTCAGTGGTTAGAGCAGTGATTCCCAAAGTGGGCGCTACCGCCCCCTGGTAGGCGCTGCAGCGATCCAGGGGGGCGGTGATGGCCACAGGTGCATTTGGGGGCGATGAGTAACTGCTATTAAAATTTTTAAAAAAATTAATTTCCAGGGGCTGAGTAATATTTTTTCTGGAAAGGGGGCGGTAGGCCAAGTAAGTTTGGGAACCACTGGGTTAGAGCATCAGCCTGCAGACCAGTCATGGGTTCAATTCACAGTCAAGGGCACGTACCTCGGTTGCAGACTCAATACCCAGCCCCTGGTTGGAGCGTGTGCAGGAGGCAACCAGTCGATGTGTGTCTCTTACATCAATGTTTCTCTCCCCCGCTCCCTCCCCTCCACTCTAAAAAGTAAAAACTAAACATTCCCCTTCTTGTTCATAAACATCACACATTTAAGACCCTGTGCAATGAGTTGTTTTAGCAACACCCCCAGGTTACGGGAAGAATAGCTTCTGTTTCTGGGGGAGAAGGGGGCTACTTTCTGAGGCCGCTTCGTGCTGCTTTAGGTTTTGCTGTTTCCTCGGTGCTTCAGCCAGGCCTGTGCCCGTGTGCTCCCTGCTGCTGCTCAATGGGCCATTGTCCCTCTGGTATTAATTGGCCATCACGCTTTGCTGCCCTAGCGATACCAGCGTCGCAGGTAATATTTCTAAAGAATAGACAAGAGCAGCAGGTCCGCGGGCTGTACACCGAGCAGGAGTGGGAGTGGGGTGTGAACGGGCTGCTATTTCGGGTCTGAAAGCGACACTGCCTCCCATGGACAGCGCTTCCCTGAGCGGCTCACTCACACTCACGGGTTTCTCTGCCTGGCCTGTGCGAGGCTCCCTTTCCAGAAACATGAGCCACCATGTCTGTCTGGGCATTTCCCAGGTTGGTGAAGCGATACTAAACCTTCGGCTCAGTTATACCTGATAAATGTTTCTCAGCAGCCCGGTGTGGTCTTCGCACTGAGGCTGATTTCTCAATATGGCTAAATAAGGACTCGGGCAGACCATGAACCCAAACAGCAGGGCGGAGCCTGCTGCATTTACCGAGCCCCAAACCTCACCTCAGCTTTTTTTAACTGAACTGCTGACAACTGGGCTTTGTTTTAAACCAGACGTATCTGGTGAAGCACCAGCAGGAACCAGGAGTTTGTTCTCTAAACAAGGGAAGGAGCACCCACCATGTCTGACTTGCAAACCCTCCCGCCCGGGCCCTGCCTCCACCAGCCCACCCCGTGACCCACACACAGTGAAGCCATGCTTGTCTTTCAGGTCCAGTATTTCTTCAAGATCCTGGATAACTAGAGGTGGAGACAAAGGAGCCGCGGCGCGGAGACGAGGGACTCAGGCACGGAGGAGCACGTTCATTCTTTTATTGTCCACTGTTTGAACCTGACCGAGTACAAGATCAACAAGAGCACTGCAGTCCTGCGCTAGTACACACGGGGACATGGATTGGCTGCGGACAACACGGACACCATCTATGGGCTACTGCGTTGCTTTTATAAAGTCCAAAATAAAGGTTTATTTTTCAAACAAGTGACTTTGGTTTATTTCATACATTACACTTCTTCTTGCAGAAAAAAAAAATAAAATTGTACAACTGCATAAATATAAAATTCTTCCACCATGACAATGGTTAACACATTCATGAAGACACAGCACCAGCACGTGATGCCTCAGAGAAAGGAAAGGAAAACGCTCAAAGCAAACACCTGGGCTGATCCCGGCCGGCGAGGGCGAGCCCGCTCTCCTCCGGCGTCAGAGCGCGGGGACAGGGCGAGGGCAGGCCAGCGTTCCCTACAGCACAACACACCCTCCCCGTCCGTGCCTCTCTGTAGTGCCATTAAAACTCAAAGGGCAGCCCCCCCTCCCCATGACAGCCCCCGCCCCGGGGAATAAGACCTGACACCACAGGAAAGACTATGGAGTGTGTGAAAACGCTCGCAGGTGGGTCTTTGAAAGAGCCAACCCCCCCACCCCCAGAAGTACCATGCCAGTTTCATTCCCGTTGCATATTCACACCTTGGACAGCAAACTTGCTCACAGAAAGTAGAAAACAGATACGATAAAACATGGCTTGAAAATGACCGGCGTGTGCGCCCACGGGACACGCACGAACTGAAATGCGCACGCAGCAATGCTCGGGGCAGGAACGCTGCTCACCAAGGTCAGTATGGAATCATAATTTACAGTAAAAATGGGCACGTCCCAAGGCTCAATTTGTATTTTTTTCTTTTGTCATTTACAGTAGAATAAATATTTTGTTGCTATTGCTACACTTTAAATTTACATTCTAACCTATGAAATGCGGAAAGCTAGTGTAAAGCATAGAGATTAAGTGTAGGTCCCATACGTATGACAGTTTGTTCAAGACTAGTAGGTTTTTTGTATCTTTTTCTTAACTCTTTAAATGGCTAGTGGGAAAGATTTGTGCTTGTGATCAGCTCTTAACTTCAATCTTTACATCAAAGCGTCCCTGAAAGCGGTCTTTCTCACTGTACCCAATGTTCTCCCCGTACGCCCTACACTCGACGCGGACCTCCGTGTCCATGGTGAGGTTGGTGAACTGCACGGCCAGCAGGGGCTGCAGGTACTTGGGCTGCAGCAGCTTGCCGTAGTAGGGGTAGTACTGCAGCGGGAAGCCGGGGTAGTTGCCCAGGCCGAAGTACTCTATGTTCCCAACTTTATCCTTGTCCTCGTCCCGCTAGAAACCGAAAGGAAACGAGATGTTAAAGGCGCAGGCGCTGGACCGGCCCTCGGTCCCTCGGGAAGCGAGCAGACGCTGACACGGGGATGCGGCCTTCCCCGACCGGCCGGGAGCAGGTGACCTAACCCCGGAGGACACTGGGCCGGGGTCTCACAGGGAGCAACGCGGACTGTCTGTAAAAGCCGCCTTGGGAAGCGGTCCCCTCGGAGGCGACTGTCCCGCACACGGGGAGCGGCGCCCACCAGTGCTTCTCCAGCGCAGGCCCGAGAGGCAGGGCGGCACGGAAGGCAGCGGCCTGTTCCCAGGGACATCACTCCTCACGTGCCCTTCATCCCCGTGTGCCCATGTCCTCTCCTGCTGCAGGGACTGTGGGGACGGAGTCCCTTGCTTCTAAGCAAGCCCCCAGGCACCTGCTCTTAGGTCTACAGGGAACATGTGCTGAGTGTTACCCTGAATCTGTCAGTATTTTTAAAAGAAAAACCAAAGACAATTTTTTATGTGAAGTTACCAATAAAAAAAATGGGCTCAAACTTTTCACACCCCCAATTGGACCAGAGAAGCCCCTGTGGGCTAGTCCGCCTCTCAGCTTCACAAACAATATTCCTTCCACCTGATTAATCCAGATTTTCCGCTGCCTCGTCCAGGGGGGAAATGACATGCGGTTTCACTCCTGTGACATCTTTCTGTTCGTTTAAGAAGTTCTACTCCAAAGAGTTACAACTTGACTGACAGAGGCTGCTTCCGGGAAGCCATGTTTCTTACGTCCCATATTAAAATCTTACCTCTAATTCAAACAGCCTCCTTCT